GATTAACATTATAATTATTGTTTTACATGCCTTCAAATGAACTCCAACTTATTGCAATCCATCCATAGGGTTTTTGTTGGCAAGATTTATTCAGAAGAGGCTTGCCATTCCTTTCTTTTTAGGTTGAGGACTTTCCAATGGGTCCTGGCCTCCCAGAGTCCTAGTTCAGCACTAAAACCACTACACCACAGTGGCACTCATGGGCCAATGCCATACTTCCTGTGAAAATAAATACAACCATATACATATAGCAGCATTATATGTAATATATGAGCTCTTTCCTTATGACTTCTAATTTTATCCTTTTAAACTGCTTCCCCCCCCCCCCTCCCTTATTACATGGCTATTCCCTACAGTTTTTCATTGTCTTTATTCTGTGACCCCATCGATGATCATCCAAGCAAGGATGTTGGATTCTTTCTTGCAGTCAGCTTTCCTGAGAAATCCATTATTCGGAATTCACGAATTGATGGGAAATGGGGTCACGAGGAAGATGAAATTCCCTACTTTCCATTTACAGCAGGAGAATCATTTAAGGTAATTTTATTGGATTAGAGTGTGTGTGAGTGAGTGTATGTTTGTGGGAGAGAAGCGAGAAAGAGAGAGACTTATTTACATAAGTAAAACTGTCCTATACCATCTGACCATGGCTCTATATCTACTCTGAGTAGAACCAGCTTTCAGAGTTCTCAAGAATCCTTTCCTGGTTCTTTGACTCCTTTAACTAGAGATAGTCTCCAGGGTGGTGGCACATTTGATTAGAAGTGTCCTATATTTCTTTTTTTTTTTCTGTATTGGAATATTTGCATATAGATGATATCTTGGAAATCCAAGTCTAGCTACTTCATCACAGTAGAGGATGAATCCACTTTAAATCTGGTTCTGCCACCTGCAGACTTTTGGGGTTTGTAGTTTAGTAAGGCTGTTAAAGGCGCCTCCCTAAACTACAAACCCCAGAATTCTGCAGGAGGCAGAAACCAGATTGAAAGTGAATTCATTCTCTACTGTGATGAGGTCACAGGTAGGAAATTCATTTATGTTTCACATGCACCTTACATACCCTAAAGGTAATTTTATGCACAATATTTTAATAAGTTTATGCATAAGAAAAGGTTTGTGTAAACTAAAGTATCAAAAAGCAAAGGTGTCACTATTTCAGCCATCCATGTGGACAATTTAGGATTTTGGAGTATTTAATATTTCAGGATGCTCAACCTATAGAGCAGCTATCTGTGCTTAAAAAAAATGCAATAACCCCCCTGGAAATTTTCAGGGCAGAGTGCTACCTTTCCTTCTGGGATGGAAGGCCAGAAATAAAATTATCTCTGTGCTTCTTTTATCACCAATTTTCAACAGGTGCTACAAAAACAGTATGTCTCTTATGTGCTGCCCAATCTTGAATTTGAGGAATGGGTGGAACTTGCAACCAAATGCATACAAATATTTGCTCCATATTGGCCCCATTATCATTCACAGGAGCAAGAGAAATACTACCTGGCTTAATCTATGTATTCTTTCAAATTCATTGTCAAAACAATTCAGAGGATGTTAGAGATGTTGAAACCACACTGAAATCAGTAATGAGATATACATATTTAAGAAGCATCAGTTTAGGGAGCTTTAGCATATCTGAAGAGCACTCAGTTGGTGTTGCTGCTAACCATTGGCACCCTTTGCTTTTCTTTTTGTAATAATAATATATAATAAAACTTTATTTATACCCCACTACCATCTCCTGAGAAACTCGGGATGGCTCACAAAGCACTCAAAGGAGCAAACGCACAAAATACGACAAGTGCATAAACAATAACACAAAAACAATAACAACAACATATAATAAAACCCTTTTGCTTTGCTTTTCAGATGGAGCTCTTGTGTGAACATCAGCAGATTCGGGTTCTGCTTGATGGGCGTCAGCTCTGCAATTTCAACCACCGTGTCCAACCTACACAAAGGATGACAACTTTAAAAATCTCAGGAGACATCAAGCTCACCAAGGTGGTATGAAGAAAAGAACAGAGCTCTCAGTATGCTTATTGGGTTATGGCAAAAAAGTGTTTTTACTACATCCTCAACTAACTGTAACCTTTGGGTGTGAATGTTGATTGAAATATTAAATGTTCCAGAAATCTTGATTAGAGTGTGTTTCATTTGTTTCGCCTATTTTCTGAAAATAATTGACATGGTTGCCTAGTGCCTGAAATACTTCAATTACCATGTAGCTTTGAGGCCAGCGCACACCTATTCCCTCACCTTATTCTAATAGCTGGCCAAGCACTGAGGTCCTGCAAGCATTTTGTCCATGTGAAAAGAGTTGCAGATGCACTGTGTGCCTATTATACTCTTTCCTAAATGGAAAGGAGAGCAAAGCAAAACAATGGAAAACACTTGAAACCTCTACTCTACAGGAAGGTTTACTGAGAAGTCCTTCCCGTGTTTACTGGAACTTCTCATATGGAAATGTACATCAACTTGCAGTCAGGCAATGAACACTTAGGTACATTTTTCTGGAAGTAAGTTTTGCTGTGTTAATGGAGGCAGCCAAGGACTCGAATCCTATTTTTAGTTTAAAGTACAGTACAGTCATTGAATTAACTGAAGTTAATTATTGATTGAATCAGTAATCTAACAATTGATTCAGGGGAGCCTACATTGGTTTGTGGTTAACCAGTAGGATAGGGAACTCTATGTAGTGAGAATATAGACATGAAAGTTTTTAATTCACTCGGTTCATAAGAATTCCTACTATACTTTGCTAAGTTGTAGCATCAATCATACTACTGTCTTTTGTGATAAGAAATAGAAACTGGAATACATTGATGATATTTCTGTCAGCTATTAAAATTCCTATAGCAGCTTCTCCGTGGGGCTTGATACGGGTACATGCAGAGAGTTACATTTTGTATGTGTAACCTCAGGATCTCAGCCAGCATGCTTTTTTACCAATACATCTGATTCAAAGTCTCCAAAGATCTATCCATGTAGTAATGAACTCTCCATTTTGTTCTATGGGATGACATATCTATCCTAGGAGCACTTCCTTAAGATCCCTGTCACCCAAGTAGTTTCCCCCCTTTTACAGATTTCTTTTGCAAAGGATTGTAATGGAGCGTAATATTTCATATTGATCTGTCACTGAATGTGCTCTCTTTAGAGGAAAGGAGCCAGGAAACAGAATCAATCAGATCTCTTGACAAAGCCAAAATCATAGGAATAAATGTCTTCTCTAATCTGGTCAAGAGAGTTATTTTATGTTCTCTGTCATGCTGTTATGGACATGACTGCATATTCTCCTGAATAAATAGCTTTGCATATTATATGAAAATTTGTATTGTCTCCAATGAGACCAAGGTAAAGCAGTCATAAACTATGAAAGAGGATGCACATTTTACTAAGATCAGCCTTATATTGCATAGCTCCATGTACTTGAATATGCAATAATTTGCCATTTATGCAAAATTTGGATAGTTACCTCCAAAAAGTGTAGACCCACCAAATCAGTGGTAGATATATGTGTTGATGTACCATTTAACAATCGATTTGGTTGATTTATTGTAATTGTGACTACCAAGAGGATTCAGGCTTCAATATACTATGTAAGGGTGAAGTCCTATATTCATACAGACTTAGCTGCAAATAAGCCATACTAAATATAGTGAGACATATTTACGAGCAAATGTTCGTGACATTGCACTGTATATCTCACACACCTGTCACTACTTCAGAGCAGCTTTGAAACTGTTTTAATATTTTCAAAAATATTTTATTTTTTTTAAAAAAATGCACAAGGTTCATTTTCATGTCCTAGCTCTAGTGGTTAGCCTAGGTATGGGCAAACTGCAGCTTAAGCAGCTGAGGGGGGAAAGGAAGGGGCCTGAGGCTGTTAGGAATTGTGGGAGTTGAAGTCCAAAACACCTAGAGGGTCCAAATTTGCCCATGTCTGAGTTAACCACATTTAAGTCCAATCCATGCTTTTGAATTAGTAACCATATCTGTTTAAGCCAGTGGTTCCCAACATGTTGTCCATGGACCACCGGTGGTCTGCAAGAACTAAAATATGCTCTGTAGCCTCACTGTTACTGCATTGTTGCAATGAGAGCGACTCACAAAACCCTCTTATAGTGTCGAGGCTTGTTAAAAATGGTTTTCTGTGGGCGAGCAGATGGCAAACTACTGGATGGCATATGTTCTGTATCAGAAACTAGAACTGATGTGGTGTATCTAATGCAATTTTATGAATCCCCAAATAACCAAACCGAATCTAAAGTTGACCAAAAACTGATTTGTAATGCTTTTGGCACTAATGTTGGAGAGTGGTCCCTGGTCAAAAAAAGTTTAGGAACCACTGGTTTAAGCCAACAAAGAACACAGTGCAAACCAATTAGTGATAAGTTATGATTATAAAATGGTTGTGAAAAGTACTTATTCGGTTTTGTAGAAACATATCATCCATTTACACTGTAATTGTTCAGGAATTCTTCTAAAAACTTCATCCTGTGTTTATTCAGTCGCAGGCCATTTTTAAAAACGTGTCAGCATGTATCTGTGCTTTTGAAATTAAGATTTAAAACATACAATTTCTGGTTCTTTGTGATTTAGACGACAACAACAAGAAAAACAACAACTTTGTTTTAAGTAATAGATTTATATGAGTTTATGACAATGGCACAAATAGTAAAAATAGAAACATAGAAAAATACAAAAATGAATCATATTACTGTAATAAAAAACAAGAGAATATTAACATACACTGTACTTCACTCTGTTTTGGAAAATTCTGTAATGAAATATCACCACCTAGCAATACACAGAACTTCTTACTGCTTCACAATATGTGTTTATGCCTTTAAAGCTGACTGTCAACTTATAGTAACTCAACACATTTCAGAGAGTTTTCTTAGGCAAGGAATATTCAAGAGCCCCCCCCCCCCCAGTTCCTTCCTTTGAAATATAGCTACAGCACATTGTTTTTGCTGGCCTACTCCCATTAAAAATAAAAATTATATGTTAGACATCTAATTTGTAGTTCACACTTCAAAAACTACACAGATTAGGAAGAAGCCAATGGTGTCCATCTGCTGATGGGATGTCTTCCCTTTCCCTATTGCAGCTCTGCTTTTTCCCACAGTCTGTTTTGAAGGGTTGGGAGTCTCTTTGGATTCAAGAGACTCTTGCTCACTGTCAGATGTCACACACACACATATCCTCTTGTTATGCTTTACAAAATTGTCTTCCCATTGCTGGTCACAACAGATTAAAAAGCTCAAGTTGTGGTTTCACCTCCTCAAAACAATTCCTATGAAACAGATCCCAGCTTTCTCCTCTAGATGGCATGGAATTTGGAGATTAGGTTGGTTCAGACCAAAAACAAGAGTGTGGTCACACAGCACCCTTCTGTTTTGTTTATTCTGCATGGGTAAAATCCCATGCTTTGTAGCTGAAGAATCCGAAAGTTGAAAGCTTGCAAGAAGCGGCTACCAGAGCAAATGTACTAGCTAGCTTTATGTACAATAGTTCAAAAGAATGCTGTCCATGTAAGTATAAAAAACAAAATTTATACAACATTTCAACACCAGAAAAGATAATAAAACAAGCAACTGAATGTTCACAAACATATATACAGTATATTAAAAATAAAACAGAAACTGTATACAGTGCATTCTCAGGATCCACTGAGTATCCATTGTGACCAGGACTTCTCACTGTATCCAGGACTTCTCACTGATTCCAAAATCCATAGTAAAATGGCATGCTTTATATAAAATGGCAGTCCTTAAACAAGTGCCAAAGAATGCCTGAAGATCTGTGAAATGGCAGAAGGCTCAGCAAGGTATGCCTGCACATCAGCAGAGTGTTCAGCAAAATCACAATATGAAGGCTTGCTCTATGTAATTTTTTTCTCCAAATATTTTGGAACCATGGTTGGTTGAATCCATGGTGGGTTTAAATTATGGATGTGGAGGACCAGTTGTATCCTCTACAATTGGTTCTCCATATCCTTAGTTTAAATGAAACCAGGTAGGGTAGAATGAACAGGTCAAATCTGATGTCACAATTCTTGATTGAACATATTACAGCCTGCATATATCAGCCACTTTAGTTTTATTCAGGTGAAGACACCTGCTGGATTTATCTTGGTACCAGAGTGGTACCCAAAATCACTATGCAGTGATCTTGTGAACCACATACAGAAACTGGCAAAAATAGGCATGAGTTACCAAAATTTACAAATCTTGAGACACACCTAATAAATCTTTGTCAGATGGATACTTCTTGCTTGAATGAATAAATAAATAAGTAAGTCAATAGTGGATCTCAAACTTATCTTCTGTATATTCAGACAGCAAAAAGTTACACATGGAGTTTTCCTATTTTCTGATATGTAGACACTAGGACATTTCTTAGGTGACCTGTTTGATAGCCTCGATCCATTGAGACCTTTCAGCCTTGCAACTAGCTTGAATGTAGTAGTGAACGTCATTCTTTGTGATGATTTTGAAGAGGTTGCCTTGCACATTTCCTTTCACTCCTGCAAGGTAGTGAGAAGAGGTGGGGTAGAAAGACAACAGATTAATAAGCTACAATGAGAATAAGGTTGCTGCAATAGCTACAATCTCTCCAGGGAAAGTAAAATATTTGAATATGATAAGACAAAGGTAAGGGCAGTTGATCTTGTCAAAGTTACCATATGACTCACTGCAATATGTGAGCTTGGATGCTGTCTTAAGCTTTTAACATGGCATAATGATTTGGCTTTAATTGCCATGGCAATAGCCTATGGTATCCTGGAAGTTGCATTTTATGGAAGGGCCATTAAAGTTCTCAGCAAGAGAGTTCCAAGGCCCTGTTGTTGTATACCTTCCAGTCATTTCTGAGTTATAGAGACTCAAAGGAGAGCCTATCATGGAGCTTTCTCTGCAAGATTTGTTCAGAGAAGTTTGCCATTGGCATGCTCTCGTGCCTCACCAAACTACAAACCACAGGATTCCATAGGATGTTGCCATGGCAGTTAAACTGCTACACCAGTGTAGTGTCAAAGGGATGTGAATGGTTGGCTTGCACAAATAAGCAGCACTTATCTCCTTCATTTGATTGTCTACTTAACTTATGAACTTCTTGAGATGGTTGTTTATTATGGAGTATGTCACAGCCATTTCAATTTTTCATGGTTGTCCTTTCTCAAACTATCTTGATCAGTATGCACAGTATGAAAAGCTGGCTCCCTTACCTTTGAGGCAGAGTACTTGGAAGATGATAGCATATAATATTGCTTGCATTGTATAAGATATAAAGCTATATATAAAGCAGTATGTGGCACAAATGAGCTAAAATTGCACTGGGACTGTGGCGCAGCTGGCTGGGAGTGGGCTGCATTAAGATCACTACTGACCAAAAGGTCATGAATTCAAAGTCAGCCCGGGTCAGAGTGAACTTCTGACCATTTATGTAGCTTGCTGTTGACCTTTGCAGCCCAAAAGACAGTTGCATCTGTCAAGTAGGAAATTTAGGTACCGCTTTAACTAATTTATGACACCATAAAATCTCCAGCAAGTGTGGAAAGAATGAGGAAGTACTCCATCAGTGTCACAAATGGGTGGTGAAGAGACAGCTCCCCTGGTGACCAGAATACCCTCATGAAGCTGGAATGTTAAATAGCCTCTGTGTGTCTATATATGTTGTGTGCCTATGGCATTGAATGTTTGCCATGTATCTGTACATTGTAATCCACTCTGAGTCCCCTGCGGGGTGAGAAGGGCGGGATATAAATACCATAAATAAATAAATAAATAATAAATAAATAAAATTAGAACAAATTCAATGCTTACAAATTTCATCTTTCCATTTCCTATTCCTTCATAATTTGCAAACTGGCCTCCAAAACTAAAATTATAACAGCTGGGTTTGTTTTTTTTTTCGTGTAGGGAACAACTTGAGAAACTGCAAGTCACTTATGATGTGAGAGAATTGGCCGTCTCCAAGGACATTGCCCAGGGGATGCCTGGATGTTTGATGTTTTACCATCCTTTTGGGAGGCTTCTCTCATGTCCCCGCATGGGGAACTCGGTCTCAGGGTAATTCTCTTGGGCACACTACCCATAACACATATAAAGCACCTTAACACCAAGAGCTAATCTGGAATGTCAATAACTTGCCTGTTGGGACTCCATTGTCTTCTAATGCTGAGACAAGGCAGCCACGGAGAGAAAATCCACCAGCAGGTCTGTTATCCTCCTATGTGGGGGGGGGGGGGATGCAACAAGATTAATTATGTACTTCTGCTACCACGTTTTACATCAGCATGGAAGAAATTATATGCAGTAGGTAGCAACATCAGCAGTATCTGAAACACGTCATGTCCTGTTTCTTTTTAAGTATATGTCTGCAGTTTTCGCAAAAGTGCTGGTCTCACCTTCAATGCTAAATATTATTCATGTAAGGAGACAATATATCCATCCATCACAAAGTGGGTTAATAATAGTGCTGAACATCAAACTAAAGGGGCATAATAACAAGCCCTATATCAATTTTGTGCTTGGTGGATAGGATGCACTTTGAAAAGGATTGTCAAATGTAACTGAGAAGGCGGCTTCTGCACCTTTAATGGCTGCCTAAAAAAATATTGGCCACATATTCTGAAACCCTTGCTTTTTTAGCATTAGCTAAATGCAATGACTCTTCAGAATTTCAGACAGAGATCCTTTTAACTGCAGTCTCGGGGTCTAATCAAATAATTTCCCGCCTTTAATAAGTATAATCTTCCATTATAATTTGAGCGTTTCCCAATCCAAAAGATTCTTCATTCTTTTCCATGTGGAAACAGTGGATACCAGATATTCTGCATGTTTTAGAGCAGTGCAAGAGACATTACTGCTCCTGAAACAAGCATATTTTTCCCTGCTGTCTAGATTCTTCCATTTATCATAGGCCTTATCTATACTGCCATATAAACCAGTTTCAGAATGCATATTAACTGCCTTAAATTGGATTATATGGCAGTACAGTTCAATGTAGTTCAATCTACATTATATGAGGTTCAATCTACACTGACCATTATAACACAGTTCAGACTGGATTATATGACAATGTAGATGGATCCTCAATGACACATTTTCTGAGAACATATGAAACAATGAGAGCACACATTTCAGAATCATTGGAATTGGGGCAGAGGAATCAGGCATAAGGCAGAATTTAACACACCGCATCTACACACACTCCTAGTGTAAACTATTGGGAATCCATCAACTTACTTTTGTAGGATCATAATAGTGTAGGAAAGCAGGATCAGCCCTCAGGACAAAGCGTCTCACTTTCCAGTTTTTTCTTTTGTGACCCTAAAAGTTGAAAGGATGGAATACATGTCATCTTCCTTTTCTCACATTGCTCTGTCCTGAAAACCTTTAATTTTGTTTGCTGTTGGTTTCTTGGAAAGGAAGATTGTAGGCTTTTGTTTTGTGACTGCCTTGCTTCAGACGTGGAATTTTCCATTAGATTCCTTTATATTTAAGATCTTTTCTTACCTTCCTCTGCACGCTTTTTTACAAGTTTTAAGACTTTTACGCTACACAGCGATGATGATGCTGGTTCCACTTTTACTGCAATGGCAACTACATTGTATGGAATCCTCAATGTCCTTCTTTAATGTGAATATCCCTGAATTCTCCCTAAACTCAAGCTATCATAATTTGGGCATATGATAAGAGAACATGATACATTAGAAAAGACAATAATGCTTGATAAGGTAGTAGGCAATATGAAAAGAGAAAGATTTCATGACAGATGGATAGACTCGACCAAGCTTCCCTGAGTTTGCAATCCCTTAGCAGGATTGTTAATCATAGGTTGTCTAAGAGGTCTCTCATTCATAGAACCCAACTTGAGGGAAATTAATGAAACAAAGGGGTATTTGTCTGGTGAAGAAGCCAGTGGCCTTTGCAAGTTAGCACAATAACTTCTGTGTCTCTTTGTTTGATGTAATATTGATGTACTTTGGAGTTTGTTACTCCTATATTGTTATGTCTTTTTTTATTGCCATATAAATATAAAGTGTCCTTAAGAGGAAAAGATGAAATGGCTGCACAATGCCTTGTGAGTGATAGGACTAGGAGGAACTGCCCATCTGAGTATCTACCAGATATCTTCCAGAAAATGCTTCTGGAACATAGCCATACAGTCTGGAAAACTCACAGCAACCTAGAAAAGTTGTTAGACTGCAATCCCATCATCCTTAGACAGTGTTGTCACTTGCCATGTACATTAGGAGCTACACTCTGACAACACTTGGATGACCACACTTTACCCACTCTAAGTATAGGCACTGCTGTGCCAGAGAGAAGCATTTCCTATTCAGGAAACTGTTGTGAATGATTGGAGAGTGTTCCTTTCATCACTCCAAAAACCAGATTGTGCGTTCATTAATACCATGTGATCCCCCTCTTTGTAAATCACCATATCAGACATCAAGTGGAAGGCTGTTTTCAAATTCTTCTCCCTCTCATGCACTCCCTGCTCATGGAAAATAAACAACAAGAGTGCAAATTTTCTTCCATCTGAAACAATGATTTCAGGTAGTAGTAATAAATTTTCATTCCAAATAAGTAATAGGCCTACAATCCCGCTGCTTTCCTAAAAGTCTTGCCCATCTCTTTCACAATAATGCAACAGTATTCGTAGGATGTGATATTTCCATTTCACATGTATTAAACCAGAAAGAATTTGTAATACATGTAATACAGCATCCACCACTCTTCCCATTACCACCTTGCCACAAGAATCCAGAATAAGTGGTCACCTGTTTTATTAAAAAGCCTTGTTTTACGATTGTACCGCTCAGTTCAAGAATGTTGAGGTGAATCTCTTCTTTGGAGATTATTTTCTTCTTATAGCTTTCAGCCTGCAATTTGAAAAGAAAGTCAAACAGAAAAATCTGAAGAAATTTAAAATGGCAGTGGAAGAATCAATACTTACTAACAAAGTGTTATTTCATCTGTTAACATAGAACATTCATTACAGTAGAGTCTTGCTTATCCAACATAAACGGGCCAGTAGACTGTTGGATAAGCGAAAATGTTGGATAATAAGGCGGGATTAAGGAAAAGCCTATTAAACGTCAAATTACGTTTTGATTTTACAAATGAAGCACCAAAACATCATGTTTTACAACAAATAGACAGAAAAAGTAGTTCAATACATGATAATGTTATGTAGTAATCACTATATTTACGAATTTAGCACCAAAACATAGCAATGCATTGAAACAGCTGTGGATCCAAGCGGAAGGCAGTCTGCATTGGATAATACAGAATGTTGGACAACTGAAGGTTGGATAAGTGAGATCTACTGTACACAGTTTTGAAACACTTCCATTTTTATTTCTGAATGGCAGGGGGTTACACTGGATGACCCTTGTAGTCTGTTACAATTCTTCGATCTCTGATTTATCTACAGAACATTACCAAGGACAACATGACAAATTGCATAGTTGGCTTCAGTATCTAGCATTCACAAAGAGATACTGGAGCCACTGTAATTCACAGGATTCACTGGCATAATCCAAGAAATGTCCACTTTACCCAAAAGACAGACCTGTGAGCAATCTAGCATTTAATGACACATACTGCATCGCTCTTAGGGACAATGCAATTGCATGAACAGGCTGATGAAAAAAAAACCCAAATGCCTAGCAGAGCACCCAGAAAGAGCTGGATATATTTTGACTCAGGTGGTCCTCCTCAGCAACCAATAAAATCAAATCCCCATGGTTTGATATCATTGGCTGTCCACAGTTGCTCCCATTCCATCTGTCGCCATGCCTGGCTACTCACACCGAGACAACTCCTTTCTGCACACATGATCAGCCCTGACTTTGTTCCAAACTAGTTATGGAAGTTCCCCACTCAGTAAGTTTGAATAGTACACCCCACAGACACCTGCTGCAGGTTGCAGAACCAGTACAACCAATGCCAACAGGTGGGCCAGCCAGAAAGCTCCATTGATCTAGATCAGTGATTCTCAACCTTTGGTCCTCCAGGTGTTTTGGGCTTCAGCTCCCACAATCCTTAACAACTGGTAAGATGACTTGGATTTCTGGGAGTTGAAGTGCAAAACAACTAGAAGAACCAAAAGTTGGGAATCACTATCTAGAACAGTGGTTTTCAACATGTGGGTCACCAGGTGTTTTGGCCTATAACTCCCAGAAATCCCAGCCAGTTTACTAGCTGTTGGGATTTCTGGGAGTTGAAAGCCAAAACATCTGGACCCACATGTTGAGAACCACTGATCTAGGTGAACCATTGGAAGTCATTTTGGTGATGGTCTTGGAGTGTTCAGATCTGGAACTAGACTTTAGAAACATTGACAGAGGCTGAAACAAACTGAGTCTAATTATTATATGTTTCCATGTTGCATCTACATCTAAGCCAAAACCTATCCAGTGTTTGTCCATGCCCAGTCCAAAGTCCAGCTACTGTATCAGTCTCAGATACAAGCCTTGAAAGTGTTAGAAAGTTCAAGTTATTTTCCCTTGTCTATTTTTCAAGCAGTTTATCAATTGTCTGATTTTTTTCCCCCTTTGGACTCCCAATGTGTATACAGTGCTGCTCTCACAATAGATTGCTACTGGAAGAAAGCAAACTTTCAAAAACCATATCACTTACAAATAGGTAGAGTGCAGTAGAGTCATCTAAAAACTGCTCAGCCAAATCCCCATTCCTCATGGCTTCAACACTCTGAGCTCCCACAGGCTTGATGAAATTTTCTTCTATCAGCATAGAGGCCAGTGTGACTGCCTCTAGCCGGGAGGCTGCAAAACTACTGGATATCAGCCAGTCCACCAACTTAGAACCTGAAAAGAAAAAAGATAGCTCTTAAGGTAAGTGAAAATATGCAGATAGCATACTACTATTAAAACAGACATGGTAGCAGATTCATCTGTTACTTCTCCTTTCATTAAGACTTTTCTAAAAGAATTACCTTAGTAAGGATATTCAGAAAAGAAGATGTAGAATAAGGGGAGAATTCACACTACAGAATTTATCTCTCTTTAACTGATTGAAGAGTGTAATGTGTCACGCACTGAGGCTTCTCTTTCATTTTAGGTGCATTTAGTGTCTTTTTGTATTCCTTTCGACAATGTCTCAGACTTCAGTCCAGAGGTCTTCTAACTCCTGGTCTATTAGGCATAATAGTGAAATCTATTTTTACATTATCTTTACATTCTACAAATATCTTCTTCAGGTTGTATTTTGGAACAATGCTTGGTTTTGTGTTAATCTTTGACTTTACTCTGATTTTTGATGTTAGCAGCCTGTGTCACAATCTGTTCCTGGTCATGTTCTTGCACTCCTGGATTGACTCCACTTAACTGGAATCTCCAGAGCAGGAAAGACTAAAGGATTTATTTATTTATTTATTTATGTCATTTATATGCCGCACTTCTCACCGCAAAGGGGACTCAGAGTGGCTTACAAGATATATATACATACAATATATTATATTATTAGCATAGCACAATATCGGTATTATATATTACTATATCGTACAATACCATTATATTGTAATAATATTAGTAATATTATATGTAATATAAAATATATAATTATAATATTGTATTATTATTAGTATTATATTGTATTATTATTATTAGTATTCTATTGTATTGACTTCCTTTGGCAGCCAAGTCTCATTCAAGCAGCAACATCTTCCAGAGCTCTGGTGCATTCCTGTATCTTTGGTCCAGAGTTTTGGATTATTTCTCAAACCTGTCTCTTGATTTTTCCTTTGCTTCTTCTGACATTCTTTGGTCAAGAACCTACTTGGCTTGTTTTTAATTTCTGGTTCCTGGTCCAGCATTGACATCAAATGAACTTTTGGACACACAAGGGAACAGAAGCTGGATTTCCTAATCCTAGTCACAATACATCTAAGCATTAGACCACTCAAACTCTGGAAGCCATGCTAATATTTCTCATACCATTTCAAACATGAAAAATAAGTTCTGAAGATATATCCATGCCCACCCATATTTTGTATTGGAGAATACTGATCCAAGATATAATACAAGTATATACTGTTGTTGTTTTTTACCTGTAAAGCTTTCTTTGTATATGCTGCCTTGTCTTGTGTTAGGTGTCAACTTAATTCCATTGCTGTTGTCATGCATTTTGTCTATAATTTGACTGTGGGGGAAAGAAAAATGAAATGGAGTTAGTGGTTTTGTCAATTTACCAAGATTCTCCTTTCTTCTTTCAGAAAAACAAATGAAGCATGTAAAATATCCCAGGCAGAAATGGGAAGCAATTCTAATAAATACAAGGTAAAAATATAATTTTTGCCAGTCCATTCCATCACAGCCAAAGTGCCCGTGCCACAATGCATCCCATTCCCAAGAGTCCCATTTTGGAAAATACTGCCAAAGACAGAAGCACAAACCTTGCATCACCTAAGTGTATTGGTAAGCTGTTAAGCATAAGAGCCTGAGAGGCATCCTATGATACCATATTGATGTTGCCTTAAGTGGCTCAAGGATTGCCCCAAATGGGAAAAGAAACATGAGGAACCTGTAAATGACACTTGTGCAGAAGCCAAGTGAGTTGATCAATGGTACTTGTAACACAGTTTAAAAATTATTTTTCAGTGCAGTTTATTTGACACATTGACTCCTAGTTTGGTGGAATGACAGAGATAAAACAGTAAGGGTATTTCCAATCACCAGACATGCACAACACTGGCAAGCAGATTTGCCGAATCTTGTAACACTTACTTCAGACTGATATTTGAAGGCAATTTGAAGGAATTTTTCTGGAGGTGAAGTTGCTGGACTTGCACTGGATTGCCAGCATGAATGGCTCCAGTTATATCCAGAGCCCAAGAGTCTCGTTCTTCTCGGGAGCAAGAGTCAAGGAAATATTCTGTGTTGGTTTTGGTCCTCAGTTTTATGACCAACTGTGAAAGGCCAGCAGAAAAACAATAAAATGTATGCATGCTACCAGAAATGAATATTTCTTGACATCACTTAGATATTTATTGTGTCTACTTCCACATCATTCTGCCTTTATGGTATTCTCTGAGGTAGCCTGGCATCAGAAATGTAGTATATATATCAGGAGCAACTTGAGAAACTGCAAGTCACTTCTGGTGTGAGAGTGGCCATCTGCAAGGATGTTGCCCAGGGGATGCCCGGAAGTTTGATGTTTTACCATCCTTGTGGAAGGCTTCTCTCATGTCCCCGCATAAGGAGCTGGAGCTTACAGAGGGAGCTCAACCTGCTCCCCCTGGATTCAACCCATTATGGTGCAATCGGTTTAGCCCATTGTGCCACCAGGGGCTCCGTAGCAAATAATGACTTGAGGGATAAGGGATTTTCAATTATGCTATCATAGGTTTGAGGGCAGTGGCATTTGCTCACCAGAAAATAACGTCTATTGCATACACTTGTCTTTTTCGTGTTACAAGCAGACCCCCTTTTAATCCCCCAAGTTGTTATTGGTATATGTCTAACACAGCTATTGTGTAGACAACTTTTCATTTAAGCCATTTACAAATTATTGCAATTATTTTGGGTTATTGTATTTGACTGTGTTCATTTTTATCATATACAGGTGGCTCTCCACATTTGTGGATTTGACTTTTACTGATTTGATTATTAGTGGATTTGATTAAATGCTATCCCTAAAACATCCTAGGTCCTCCAGTGTGATTCTATAGTCTGCTTTCAGCAGATGTTGACTATAGTGTTGTGCTGGAGGACCTAGAAATCCTTAAAGACATGTTCTTACAAGAAAAAATAGCAATATTAAATTTGCTGCTTTTCACTTTTATAGGAGTCTTGTGTCCCTAATCCCAGTGAAAGTGGGGTATTATTATTATTATTATTATTAATTATTATTATTATTATTATTATTATTATTATTATTATTATTATTAACTTATCCCATGCAAGCTTCCCCTCTTTTTCTCTCTGTTTCTGCATGCTGGCAAAACGGAGTCCCACAGAGGCCATCCCATGATGAATGGCCACTTCTGATGGACACCCATGGGAATTTGCCTTGTCAGCGTGCAAAAATGGGAAAAAGACTCTGTTTTCAGGAGTTGGCTATTACCTGACTCCTAACTGAAGAAAGAGGGAGGAAGCAGAAAAAAGTGGGAAGAAGACGGGGAAAGGACGTGGGATGGCTGGCCATTCCCAAAGACTGGGCTTGCTTGAGTAAGACTAAGTCCCACTCTTCTAAACACTTTCCCCAGCCCGTGGGACTACATCCTGTAACTGTATCATTAAAAAATAACAATCCATTATTAAAGCCCTACATGATTTGGTCCAGGGTACAAATAGAATAAACTTTTCCCTTATCATCCATGCCAACAAGTCCTCTGATGGACATTTACTTCAGTTGGCCAAGACTGGTCTGGCAACAGTAACACAGAGGACTTTCTTTTCATCCACCCTCAGGTTGTAGAATGAGTTGCCAGAAGAAATTCACCAGTTAGATCACTGGCTGAGTTTAAAAACAACAAAAATCTATTCTTCTGTGAGCCTATCCAAATGATTTTTAAATTATAAATGATAAAAGTCTGAATTGGTCGCTTTTAGTATGAATGAGTTATATATGCTCTTTTAAATTGTGTTATATATTTTTAACTGGTATTATGTGTTTTCTACTGATGTAATATGTTGTATTTCAATCTGTTGTGGTTCCATACCTGGATATCTAATCGGGAGAAATGTGTAAAAAGAAAAAGATGATGATGATGATTTCTTCATTTCAGTTTTTCCCTATACAACGGAGATCCGTGATGATCCCTAAACTGTTATATCCACTTTTGCTCCTTTCTCCAGTCTATTTGTCTCCTTTGCTAGAACCAACACAATAATAACGGTGTATAACAAATGAGTACAGAAGAGGTCATACCGGCCTGTTTTCGTATTCCAAGCATGGGCAGGTGATAGTGCAACCATCCAGAAGAATCCTGCCCTTTGGCGAAGACTCCTTTTTTCCTCCCACAACTTTATAATAGAGTAGCCTGTCTTGTAAAAGAACAAACCATCTTGCTTTCCAGTTGTGGACAACATGCCCCTGCCAAATAAAATAAAAAATGTTTTAAATAGTGTTGTTTTATAAATATCTTCAAAAGAAGAACTTTTATTTATTTTGGTACTGTATATACTTTATTTTTACGCATTGTAAAGTATATGTTTTATTTTTAGTGTACTCTTAGCTTGGAGGACTTTTAGCAAAAGCCCATTTTGAAGGCCCCCCCCCCCCGAAATTCTCAGGGTGGTCCTCGACAAGGCCTTACTGGTACATTATTTAAACTGTTATGTTTATTCATATCATGATCTGATCACCATGCTCAATATATCCTATATGCATGGGGGTATTGGGGTAACAATACAGAAGGTTTGCTAGGGTAGATCCTCAGCTCCCCCCCCCCGAATCAAACTCACCCCCCCCCTGAATCAAACTGACAGCACCCCCCGAATAAAATCCTGGCTACAGGCCTGGTTGGAGGCTACAGGCAATGCTGTTGCTGATGTCCGTTTTTGGTCAAAAGATATTTAGCTGTTTGTGCTCCTTCTATTTTTATCAGTTTTATACTAATTTATGCAATGCTTCTGATACAAAATAAATAAATAACCACACCACTATGAGTATTCCATATAATAATAGCTTGTAACATAGTATGATCAAAACAGGTGTCAGTAAAAGAGCATTGATTCTGTTTACAACACCTCTTAAAATATTGTAAGTACTGGTATGACCAGATCGGCCACTGGAACACAAGCTGCCGTCAACTTTCAAAAACAAATCCTATAATTAAAATTCATATTATTAAATTGAGTTTGCTCAGTTAATGTAATGCAATTAAATACAGATGGAAAGTTGCTGCTCATCATAAAAAAACAAACTATAGCCAAAAGTTAACTAGATGCATTATACAAACACATTCCATGCATCTCTCACAGCTATAGAGCAACTTTCCTTCTACCTGGATCTATACACGTTGAGTTGCACCCAGTTACTGGCAGGGAAATATATGATTCCCCTGTGGCAAAAGTGTAATTGTGGCCAAGTTTAAGATTACATGGAAATTTCTTTAATTAGCCACAAACAAGAATCTAACATGGTTGATCTCTAGGAAGGAATGTGCAAAGCATGGCCGTCCTCAGATATGAGCAAGGAGAAGAAAAACTGCATCAGAGAAAGGGCTGGAAATTAGAGTTGGTATTTGCAGGGCTTTTTGAAGACTGTTTGATAAAAACTCCAAGAGATTAAGGAGGGCTGAATGTTATTTATATTTCAATGAGTCTATTTGAATAAATGGAGCTGGAGTTTGACTAACAGAAACTGTGCACAATAACGAATTAGTATTGAGATAAGCAGCCAGGTAGAGCAAGCAGAGCAAGATTATTGCACTCTAGCTCAGAAATGCAACAAAGCTCCTTGAAAAGCAAGAAAGGAATGTAAAAAGTACATTCACACTACGTTCGTTTATCTGATTTCACCATCAATTTCAGGCTGCAGCATTTTCAGCCTCATTTAGAATAACAGGAGTTTCCAGTCACCACCGTTAACCATGTTGTTAAAATGCTGGTGACCAAAGTGTTTCAGAAATAAACGTTTAAGTCTTTTCCATTAGTGTACAATGTTACTAGAGCACCACAGTTCACCTATTAACACTATAGTGGTGCCATTCAACATTGATGCCAGTCCTCAACCCATCTGCTGATTCATAGAGAGTTGTCAGGAAAGAAAGAAACAGAACCAATGGGGACAAATATGTTGCTGGTCCCTGGCACTGGCAGATTAGAAAACAGCAACTGTTAGTCTCCCACATAAGATAGCCTATGTACCACTACACTACAGCACTATAGTATTATAACGTGATCTCTGTGTTTCATTAAACAAGGATACAGCCAGGAAAGAAATATAGTGCTAATAAAAATACACATTTTTTAAAAAATCAATGAGAACACAAAATAACATCTATTCTAAGGGCTATAAGGAATATTTATTCATTCATTCATTCATTTAAAACTTTTGTATCCCGATCTTCTCTACCTCCGTAGAGGGACTCAGACCGGCTAACAGCAAGGATTCGGTGCTAACAATACAATACAATCTAGAACATCATACATCAACAGTAAATTAAAAATACATATAGGATAAAATACATATAAGCCAGTTCACCAAGATAAAATCATGTCCAACTCAGTCCGCATATTGTGGTCGATAACTTTGGTCAATTACCGGTCTCAGTCATCATTCTGGGAATGCCTCGTTCCATAGCCAGGATTTCACTAGCTTCCTGAAGATCAGGAGGCAGGGGGCAGATCTAATTTCACTCGGGAGAGAGTTCCATAGCCAGGGGGCCACCACAGAAAGGGCCCTGTCTCTTGTTCCCATCAGACACGACTGCGAACGTGGTGGGACTGAGAGCATGGCCCCTCCAGAAGATCTTAGCAGCCTTAATGGTTCAAAGGGGAGAATACATTCGGACAGGTAAACTGGGCCGGAACCGTATAGGGTTTTGTAGGTTAATCCCAGCACTTTGAATTGTGCTCGGAAGCTAATTGGCAGCCAGTGGAGCTGGCGCAACAAGGGAGTTGTATGCTCCCTGTACCCCACTCCCGTCAGTAGCCTGGCTGCCAAGCGTTGGACTAATTGCAGCTTCCGAGCAGTCTTCAGAGGCAACCCTACATAGAGATATATCTTTTGAGCCTTGAGAATATCTTTTCAGCATGAAAATAGCCCATCTTGTAGGATTAATGTATCTTACTATTGCATCACACTAAAGAATTAATCCACTTTAAATCCGGTTGCTGCTTCCTGCAGAATTCTGGAGTTTGTAGTTTAGGGAGGAGCCTTTAAATGCCCCCCCTAACTACAAATCCAGAATTCTTCAGGATTCTACAGAATAGTGCTCAATTTGGAGGGCTTCAGCTTGTCATTGTCTTTAAAAGGGACTTGACAAGCTCTACCCTAGTTGCAGTTGTTGTATTGTACCTACATATTAAAAATACAGTATTCCATATGCACATATTTTAAAAGCACAGTATTCCACACAAAAATATAAACATAGAGGGTTGTGCTGGATGCTATCTTCCAACTCTATGATTCTATATATTAGAAAGTGCAATATTCCAATAATGTGGAAAGCCAACTCCAATTCCTCTTGTAGCTTTTAGCAGAAAAGTGCTGAAAAGCACTAGGAATCTCCCACCTGGAAGCCGCCCAAGAAGGTTAATGTGAAGAGTATACCACGCAAGACCAGACCTGACAATACATGAGGTGCTGCAGGTCCGAGCGTGACAGGAATGTTAGGAGAAGGTTCGCAAAAAATCCTCTACTTATTTTTGCTTATACACCCATCACAGGGTGACTATGAAAGAACTCTCACCTTAGAAAAGCGACCAGTATCAACATTTATCTTATTTCTAACATTTCTAATTCTTTCCAAAGGAAGACAAATGCATACATTTTCTAATTCTTACATTCCTCACTGATTTTTCTCCCAAGGGAAGTCTGACACATTTTGTAAAGTTGAAGTTTGACATCTGATAGACCCCCACAAGTGCACTAATAGTGACTGTACCATACCTTTTTAACAAGAAAGCCCTCTTTCAGGATGCCGCTCCCTTCTTCCATGTTGAGCCTGTGGCCAAGACAATGTGCCTGCAGAGAAGTCTGGAAGCAGCTGCACACCGATTGACATGCATGTGACGTTTTAAAAGGTAGGCAGGCAAACAGGCAGGCAGGCAGGCAGGCTTTCTGAGCCCCCTCCCTTGCTGTGACGTGCTCCTCCACACCCTGCCAGGGAGACAGTAAGCAAACACTGAGCTGGCACCGGAAGCACACCTGCCCTGAAGGGAGTTCAACACAGGGAAAGTTTTCACAGGGTAATTCTGCCACAGCATTGCTCTCCCAGAACTTTGAATGGATGAAATACCTCAAGTGACTCAGGGAATGCCAGTCAGCCCTCCTATTATACAACACAGGAAGGAGATTGTTTTTCTGAAAATTGGAGCCAAGAACCAAAGTCTACAATGTTTTGTTGACTGGGTTTTCCCCATTTTGACATGTTAACATATTGGGGCTGGCACTCAGTGAGATATGCATGCATAAATCAAGCTGTGCATGTGAGGCAGATTATTCACTACAGCGCAATAGGCATAGTTTCCAAAAGGTATCAAACTCATCTGAACACATTTTACAGGAGTCAAAAATATGCTGAGGATATGCATTATTTTGCTATAAAATAATAATAATAATAACAACAACAACAACCCCCCATCTGGTGCCGCCTTGTCGTTGGCAGGGGGCTTAACTGCTTCTATGATGTTGAGAGCTGTGCTGACAGTAGTGTAAACTACCAGCAGGTTCAACCAAGCCAGAGTGGTTTCAACTGAGAAGTAGAAGTAAGTGCACCCAACCCATTTAAACATGGTGAAGCAAACTCTAAAGAAGTCTATACTGGCTCAGTTGTCGCCCAGGATAAAAAGGACCACAGCGAGTGCTTCTCCTGGGCACCCATCAACATGTGGGCTACAGGAACCAGGACCCACTGCTGAGCAACCGGGGCATGGGCTTGCAGGCCAACTAGAAGCAAAACAACTACAGAAGCAGCAGAAATTTTCAATGCAACAGATCCGAACTGTCATGAACTGCTGTTATAGATCAGAACCACAAAAACGTGGATATCAAAAACTGATGTACCAACTATGGAAACTTGAAGTCCGATGTGTGATCCAGTACAACAACCAGCAGAGTGATCTTGTCTGCCATGGAAAAAAAACTTAAGACGTGGCTTTGGGACCAAGCTTTTGACAAGTAATTGGAGCAGTGCAATAAGTGACCCCAAATCAATGTGATTAACAATTGGAACGGCACTGGATTACGTTTTGGATAGTGTGATTTAATTGATGATTTAATAATTCATGTTTTAATTGTTTGATTTTAATTGTAATTGTTTATTTTGTGTGTGTGTGGCATCAAATTGCTGCCTGTTGCAAGGCCACCTTGTGTCCCCTCTGGGGTGAGAAAGACAGGATATAAATATGGCAAATAAATAAATAAATAAAATATATCTGAATGTAGGTGTAAGTGCTGTGTTGAATGAATTTTAGATGGCAGCCTTCATCTGTGTCATTGTGTGTACTGTTTGTACAGTACTGCAAGTTCGCAAGAATAGTGACCAAATTCTCCAGCTTTTATAAAAGTCCATTTTCGCTACAGGGCTTTAAAAATGGGAATATAATGGAAATTGTGTTCAAGCATGGTATGTTCTTGAACAATGTGTTTCTTTGCAACCTCCGAGAATAGAGTGCTTCTGATCAGGCAACCCTAGCTAGAATCTAGAATATGTCGTCAATAGATAAACATTTGTAGTGGGTTTTAAATCTATGAATGGTTACAACACTATATGCATACTACTTGCAACTTCCTACTAAGTTACATTTTTAAAGAGGTAAGTTTTTATTTGGCATAGTCACTCTGGTGATAAAAATGAATGAAAACACAAAGCAATTGAGTGTATCAGCACAGCTTCAACATACATAAAGAGCTATTTCAGATCATGAGAAAGAGTAGATTTCTGTATTGGGCTTTCTCTTCTTTCCATAAAAAAGAAGCCCAGCACACCCAAATTTTCCAGTGTGTGTACAGGTTGTGTATTCCTTATCCAGAATTCCAAAATACTCCAACATCCAAAATTGCCCACATGAATGGCTGAGAAAGTGACACTTGTTTAATGAACAACATTCTTAAAAGTATTGTATAAAACAACCATGATTTAAAATGTATATAGAACATAAATTAAATTTATGTTTAGACTTTTATCATATTATGCACATATATGCAAATACATGTATTGCAAAATCTGAAAAAAATCTGAAATCCTAAACTTCTGGTCCCAAGCAATTTAGGATATAGATACTCAACTTGTATATGGAAAGTATACAAAGCTTGAATGGCTTAAGACAAATAGTTTTGATCTTGCAACTCCAACGCACAAGTGTCCTAATATGCACACAGAACTTCCAATTTGTGCAGGAATTTCTTACCATTGTGTGGCTTCCTGGTTTTCTAGATCACTGAGTGGAATAAAACGGGTTTTTTGTAGTGTTTTTAAATAGGATTCCTGGAGATAAGAACATAAGAAAGGGAGAATTCTTGGCATGCTTATAATACTCCAGTGAATACCTGCTTTTATCCCTCTCAAGATTACAATCTGAACTCTGGTAGCGTGACTCAGGGCAGGAAGGATTAGTCACCAAACCATTGTCTCTACCTGCCAGACTACCTGTGTCCACAGACATTACTGAGTTGTAGGTGGAGGATAAATCAGTAAGTATTGTCGAAGGCTCTCATGGCTGGAATCACTGGGTTGTTGAAGGTTTTTTGGCCATCTTCCAGAAGCATTCTCTCCTGACATTTTGCCTGCCTCTATGATAGGCATCCTCAGAGGTTGTGAGGTCATACATGTCCATACAACCCAGAAAACATACAACAACCCAAAACAGTAAATATTTGTTTTTATTGATAATTCATGTGTCATATGTCATAAACAAATGGAACAGATGCTTTTGTTATTCAAAGTGTTGGTAATAACCTATAAAGCATATATGGCTCACGTCCAGGTCATCTGAAGGATGGCATTCTAGAGTATGAGTTTGCCCATATCTTGAAATCCTCTGGGGAGAGCTGTTTCTCTGTTCCACTATCTTTCGGGGTGCATCTGGTGGGAGAAGGTCTTCTTGGTGGCCACACCTTGTGAACCGCCTTCTTAGAGAGCATAGATTCATGTCCTCCCTGCCGTCCTTCTATAGGCAGGTGAAGATCTTTTTCTTTCAGCAGGCTTTTGAGGACTACGTTCTCTTGGAGAAAGGCTTCCTGGAATGTTCTGCATTGTTTGTTGTTTTATTTTTAGTGGTCAAGATTTTAAGTGCTTTAAGATTATATTGTTAAATTAAATTCTGCTGTATTTTAATCTCTCGTTGTTTGTCTCAATCCATAGGAAGATATTGATGATGAAGATGATGGTAATGATTTTAAACTTTTGTATGATAGGAATTTTTTAAACATTACTAATCTTTTTAAGCCACTTTGAGCCCCAGACTGCAAAAAACACAGGACATTAATTATCAAACATCATTTAGTACTGTAATTCTAGTAGGATTAATTGACTCTTCAATGGTAGAATAATATTTTTTCTTTCTGATTCCTTTCTTTCATTACAGTTTGGGTGCAGGAGTCAGAGCCCCTTTATGCTTTAGTCAATTAGTGTTTAGTATTTTGGTTTATTACTTACTCAGGAGATCCCTCATTCTCTGAGTATGATGGCCTTCCAAGTGTAGTGTGTTGGCGGTGAACATGTAGGCAACTGTAGAGCTCTATTCTTGACCTGCATGTTCTTCCCCAGTGAGGACATAGGTTTCCAGGAGGAAGGTGGTCCCGTTCATGGTTAGCTTGATGCACCTTCATCTTGGCACATTTGGCTTATTATTATTATGATGTTTATGTATACACCACTTTTTCTCTTCACAGGAAGACTCAATATTGTTTCAGTGTTGTTTTCATTTGCATTTCGTCTTAGTTCTCTCTCAATCTCTGGTAAAAACATAACCATAACAAATGTAAATTTATATTTGTAAATATAAATGGGTTATCCTCTCTCCTTTTTCTTCCTCTTCATTTATTTTCTTCCTGTATATCTTTTCCTGGATATTTACTACTTTTATTGTTAATTAGATAGTTTAAAAAATTAATAAAAGAATAATTTTTTTCCTCTTCATCCCTATCATCATAATGCAGACAGAGTTGATTGGGTTCTGTATTCCTGGAGGCACTCTACCTTTGCAAACCTTGCATTCATGGCTGGTCCAATCTGAGTTTTTCATATATTGTTCTGTTATATTATTGCAATCATGTAGTACTGAGCACTTAAAATCAACAAGTGGAAGTTCTGAAAGATGGGAAACTAGACCAGGCCAAGATAATTTGGAGCCTGAAGCACAGTAGTAAGTAGCATCCAATCCCCCAATGCTGATCACATTATTTTGGCATATATAGCAGAATACCCACAAACATTTCTCCTCATCTGTGGCAGTAAAATATAACCATAACAAATGTTAATTTGTTATCCTTTCATGATCTCACTGCCAAATTATAGGACCTCATGGAGATGGTCATTATTATTCTAGTAGAGGATAGGAGGTGGGGAGTGGGACAGACTGAGAAATTAGGAATGAATTTGCTTCTTGAAAACTCCTCTCATGAAGCAACTTAGCAGATGTCTTTTCCTTCTCAACATACTCTTGAGACACAGCAAATGATAGGGTTATCAGACAGCAGTGTTTGCAAACCAGTGAGAGAACGGTTCTGTATTCTATGCTAATAGCTACAATTTTACCAAGATTATAGTGGCAGCAAGGGAAGTCATGCTTATTCTTTGAACTATATAGTTCTCCAAGTGTCTTATTTTCTACCTAGGTTTTGTTTCTTCCATCACTGTCTATGCCAGTTTGGTTACATGAGAGAGCTGCATCAACAGGATTCCAGCCTCAATCTCTAATCTTAAGGTGGCCCTTCTTTAAGAAAAGAGTTAATCATGAGGTTCCATTTTATCTCCTATTTATTTATTTATTTATTTATTTATTTATTTGCTATACTTGTATACCGCCATTTCTCAGCCTAGCCGGCG